CGCCCTCCTCCAGCGCCCGCGCCCTCTGGGGTCTGCCACCCCGAGCGCTGGCACATGGTGCTCAGCAGGGGACCCGCAGGCCCTCTGGGTCAGCAGTGAGTCGGAACCAGCCCTGTCAAGACACCTACGGTTCTGGATAAGCGAGTTAGCAATGAGGCTCATTCATGAGAACTGAGTCTGAAGAAGGTGAGTCACTTACTCATGGGGTTGGGGGGGGGGTAGGAAGGAAGCCGTCCAGGGCCTGTTGGACTGAAAAGAGTTCTGCCCCGCAGTCCTGGCACTGGGGACGGTGGTGCCATCGAAGGCCACTCCGGGCCGTGGGCCCGGACCTGGGAGCCGCGGACCCAGCGACAGAACTGCGGAAACGAGCAGGGACAGTGGCCCAAGTCCCTGAAATGATCTCATTTCTGTAGCTTCTCGCAGGAGGGAAGCAAAGGAATTAGCGCTCACGACCTGGAGCTGACTTCTCGCTTCTGTTCCTTTGCATTTTAGCAGGAAGCCGGCCGGAAGGTTTCAGGTTGATTCCCGGCCAGGGGCCCAATGCCCAGTGGGGGGCGTGCAGGAGGCAGCCCATGGGGAGAGCATTAATGTTTCTCTCCCTCTCCCTCTCTCTCTAAAAATCAATAATAAAAAAATAATTCTCACGTGCAACAGTCCCCGCTCTTTTTACCCCATTGTTACAGGAGTAACAGGATTTCTGTCTATGAGACGCACACATGACCAATGCAGATTTCTCAGCTCGAAATGCCTCTTTTAAATCTATTCGCTGAAAAGTCGGTTTGGTTTGTAAGATTTTAAAACAATTCAGCTTTAAAAAGCATTGCCGTTTTTCAGAATGTTTTTTCATAAGTTTCATCTACCCCCTTGGCTGGGTAGTTGCCTTAAGAATTTCATCACTGAGATTGTCTTGAATATAATTTCTTTGTTGTTGTTGTTAATCCTCACCTGAGGATATTTTCCCATTGATTTTTAGAGAGAGTGGAAGGAGGGGGAGAGACACAGAGAAACATCGATGTGAGAGACACATCAATTAGTTGCTTCCTGCAGGCGCCTGACCAGGGCCAGGGGTTGAGCCTGCAACCAAGATGCGTGCCCTTAACTGGAATCAAACCCGAGACACTAACCTCTGAGCAAACGGCTAGGGCTGTAATTCCTTTCTAAAAGACATCAAGTGGATTGGTTTCTGAATGCATCTATTTTGTCTCCCCTCTGCACTACAGACTCCTCAAGGCCAGGTTTATGAGCCTGTGCGGAGGAGTAGTTGGAGTTACTGAACTGTATCTGTGACCAATATAGCAAGGGTTTCTTTTCCCATTAATCCTCTGTGCTCTTATAGTAGAAAAAAAAATAAGATTTCCCTATTTCCAGCTGCTTCATTGTCATCCAAACACTCCCTTCACATCAGCATAAGCCAGCCAGCCCTGAGACACGTGTGGCTCAGCCATTTTCCAAACAATTAAAATTTTTGCCCTTAAAAAAATTCAGGTATAGTCGACATGCAGTATTATATGAGTTTCAGGTGAACGAGGTAGTTATTCAACATGCCAATCCATGGCCTGTTTTAAATCCTGGGCAGTTTTCTCTGACCTAGCGGAAATGTTTGCAGCTTCTTCATGCAAGCGGCTGACGTCAGCTCTAGAAATGTAAATATTTGCGATGTTATCCAAAGGAAAATAAAATTGAGGATAAACTTTCTACTAAGACGTATTGAAATAGTGTTTGGAGACACCTGCCTGTTTTCGCTGATGAAGGGCCTTTAAGACGGGAGAATCCCTGCAGGCGCGCCTGTTGCCCCAGACCAGAGCTCCGATGAGGGAGCCAGTGCTGGTCCACTTCAGGGGCAGATCACACTGAGACACACGCCTTGATGTGTGAGCCGTGTTGGGGGAGGGAGTATCCTCCTCGCTCATAGCTGAGCTGGACAGGAAGCAGGGGGCTCGCTCCTAACTCTGACTTTCTCTACCAGGAAGAAGGGCCTGAGCGAGAGGTCTTTGTCGTGTGACTTCCCCCAAAACGGCGAGATGTCGGGCTCCTCGCCGTTCAAGATGCGGTTTGTGCACCTGGACCTTAAAGGAGCCCCGCCGAAGGTCTCGTACCTCTCGGAGGTGGGAGCCCCCTTTACCTCGAGGGGAGCCCCCGGGTTGGTCTCTAAAGGTGCGGGCAGTGTCCTGTAGAAATGTGTGCTCAGAGCTCAGCTGCGGGGTCTGGCTGGGCCACAGAGCAGCCAGGAGAGTCAAAGGGAAAACAGGATGAAGAGACCCCCAACCTCTTCACCGTGGGCTGAATGTGTCCCCCAAAATGATACGTTCAACTCCTGGCCCCTCGCACCTGTGACCGGGACCCGGTTTGAAAATAGGGTCTCTGCAGACATTGTCGACAGGAGGTGAGGGTGTCGGTGGTTTTGTAATTTACAGTTAATTACCGATTACGGTTTTATGACGCATTACGGCTGATTTCTACTCCCAGCTGACGCCCTCCTTCCCTGCAGCCTGTCTCAGAACGTCTCAGGCTCTAGGGCAGTGGTTCTCAACCTTCTGGCCCTTTAAATACAGTTCCTCATGTTGTGACCCAACCATAAAATTATTTTCGTTGCTACTTCATAACGGTAATGTTGCTACTGTTATGAATCATAATGTAAATATCTGATATGCAGGATGGTCTTAGGCGACCCCTGTGAAAGGGTCGTTTGACCGCCAGAGGGGTCGCGACCCACAGGTTGAGAACCGCTGCTCTAGGGAAAGAACGCTTTGCCAGCAATGTCCGCAGGAGTGGACAAGTCAGACGAGCCCTGGGACGGCCTCGCCTGGGCACAGGCTGCTGTTCCCGTATCTGCAGGGGGCCTTCCCTGGTGCCCACAGGGCACCGCTTGTCACCCTGCCAGACGGGAAGGAGGTCCCAGCTCTGTGTCGCACACACGACCTAGTCCCAGCAATCCTGAGGGCAGGAGTTCATATCCTTTGAAATAAAGGTGGCGTAATGGGGAGGGGGAGGGAGCCTGTGAGGTAGCCAGGACCAGCCACTACGCTCCCTTTTATTTTTTTAATATATTTTTATTGATTTCAGAGAGGAAGGGAGAGGGAGAGAGAGAAACACCAATGATCAGAGAAAATCACGGATCGGCTGCCTCCTGCACACCCACCCTGGGGATGGAGCCCACAACCCCGGCACGTGCCCTGACCGGGAATTGAACTGTGACCTCTTGGTTCATAGGTCGGCGCTCAACCACTGAGCCACGCCGGCCGGGCCCCACTTCCTCTACGGTTCCTTCCAGCCGCACACCACCAACCCCAGCCCTGCCGGCCCCCCCGTCTCCTGTGAGCTGCTCTCTGACTGTGGCCGCCTGTCCCTGCTGGCCCGGCCTCCCCCCCGGCTTAGCCGCCATGAGCTGCTGTTCAGGGGCAGCAGCTGTAGAGCGAGTGGTCCCCTCACCCAGTGTCCCTTGAACAGTCACTGCGTTAGAGAGTTTGGCTGACATGACACAGAGCGCACGTTCCAGGCGAGAGTTCCCAGGGAGGAGAGGAGTCCGACAGGGACCCGTGTGCCGAGTGAGAGACGCCGAGTGCTGCCTTGTGACTTCCTCACGCCCCTCTCCCCAGATCTTCCCGCTGTTCCGTGCCCTGGGCGCCAACGGCCTCCTCATCGAGTACGAAGACACGTTTCCCTACGAGGGTCCCCTGAGGCTGCTGAGGGCCCCGCACGCGTACAGGTACCTGCCCACGAGGGTTGCCACCTGCAGAGAAAATGGGGTGGAGGGGTGGGGGCGGCGACCTGGGGGTGCGGGCAGGGCAGGCGAGAATTTCACGACAGTGAGATAATCCCGTCTGTCTTTTTAAATGCACGTCTTCAGCTATAAACATAAAACGAGTTCACAGAATAGTGGAGAAAGTAAGCGAAGCCGTGATCCCCACGGGGCGCAGGTGTGAAGTGCAGGGAGGAGCTCTGACAG